CCTGGTATAAGCCAGTATGACTGAGCTCAAGTAGATGCTGAATACAAACCCAGAAGTTACTCTGAAGGCAAGCAGTAGTGATTTGAATTTGACTCAGGCAGGCGAGTGACATGTGCACCTTTAGGCTGTTTAAAGACCAAACACGCTGTAAGGGTTTCACTGTGCTTGAAGGGAGGACTGCCAGATGGACATTGCAGTAGTTGAAGCGAGAGATAATCATGGCCTGTACCAGGAGCTGGGTGCCATACTGAGTCAGGTAAGACCTGATTTTTCTTATGTTGAATAGTGCAGTGGTGCTGCAGCGGTATCATGATGGAGAGAATGATCGGCAGAGATGATGAGTTCAGTCTTAGAGACGTTTAGTTAAAGGTGGTATTCCTTCATCCATGTGGATATGTCAGAGAAACAAGCCGAGATCTGGAACAACAGGTATAGTTGGGTGTCATTTGCATAGCAGTGATATGAGAAGTGCAACTGGATAATTGAACCCAAGAAGGTGATGTATATTGCAAAGTGAAGGGGTCCCATCATTGATCTTTGGGGAACCTCTGTAGTGAGGGAATGGGATAAGAATGTTTGTCCTTGCCAAGATACATTAAAGAAGCGTCCAGTGAGACAGGATTGCCTAAGATGCCCATGTTGGAGAGTACAAACAGCAGGATGTGGTCCAGCAAGATAAGAACCAGCAGCAGGAAGATGGAATTGAGCGGGTGGTATTGAATTAAAATAAACTACAGTGTGTGTGTTTATGGTAATGGTGGAATACTGTATGTTGCCCAGTGTAAAGGTGTAAGGTGTGTTACTAATTTATTTTTAATTGTTTTTGGACAGCAATGGAGCTTTGATAGCACAGAGGAATGAGATACATCAGGCTGTAGTATTTGCGGAGTAACTTAAAACACGTGGCTGCTGGTGGTAATGGTTCATTTTGCTTCTACAGGGCCAAAGATTCAATTTGAAATGACATGCACTGACTACTTGGGGCAGCAGACATGCCTTGAGCTGCTACTCTGTCAGAAATGTGACAGAAGAAGTGAAGTTTGTCTACAGCACAGCCGAGCAAATCATGTCACATTTATTTGAATAAAGCAGACTAAAGAAGACAGTGAGCAGGTTTGTCGAAGACAGCAACACCAAACTTGTTCAATACTATCTTTTGTATTACATTATTTGCGCTAATACAATACCAGCCATACATAGTGTCAAAAATGTAAGTTTTATGTAATGACTTAAACCTGCATGACTTCCTTAGGTCATTTGGGGGCAGCACAACAAACTTTAAATGCAATATATGTTAAACCCTATAAATTTCATATAGGTAAGCAAGCAGTGGTTTATTTACATGCCTTACAAAAAAGCAACATTATAAATCTTCTTTTTGCTCTGTTTTGGTTTCCACCCTGATGAGAGAAAAATATCTCGCTCTTTAGGCACTAAATCCTCCTTTATGTTGTCCAACATGTTGCTATCTAGGTAGGTAGTCTGTGTGCTGTGCTGGTTAAGTTTCCACTGGAAATGATGCTGATGTGAGCAGTGAGAGTGAATCAAAAGTAAAGTTGCGAGCTGTAAAACCAAAACAGTGAGGTAAAAGACACTAAAATGCTTTATAATGGTGCAAAAACTCAACAACGAATGCTGTCTTTATGATGTATACAATGCCAGCTTGAATTGAGATTGTAACAGAGACATACTGATCTAAATGCATGGTGACTGTATAAAGCTATTGTTGTGTTGGTTAATGTTTTATTGTTGTAGGTTTTACCCCTGAACATAGGATCTGTCATCTGAATTAAAGTTCTGTATAATGCACATAATTTTGCGAAGATCAATAAATTTTAGTAGCTATATTTCTGATACCATATCATTAACTTGTTAACCAGACAATATGCACAAAAGGAAGTGTACAATCAAGATTTTTGGGAAAACAAAAGCACTTTTAGCAGGTTTGGCAATTTCTGATGCATATGTATCTAAGAACTCTCTATCCAGTTAAACCTGCAATTGTCAAAATAGTAGCATCTTGCACAGACTGAAATCAAGTGTGTGGCATTAATGTTGGATGGATAATTGAATACTTTCCTAGCCTCTGACGTGGAACCAATCAAAATAGTACTTCATCAGCTCTGTCAATTTGAGGTTTTCAGCGAGACGACGAATCCAACAGGATGTTTTTTGCAGATCATCTCTTAATAGGACAAAGCTGGATCTTGGCCCCAGGTTTTCTGGGGCTCTTTTGAAGGCAGCTGAAGTAATGATTAGAAAGCAAAGTCCACATCTGAGATATATTTTCCAATACCAAAGCCATTACTGAAACCAGATGGGCAAGACGTTGGTCTGTTTGATACTTCCTGGTTTTTAACAAGCCTTTTTATTGACAGAATGGTTTCATGTTTTGTTGTTTACACATGTTGTAGTGACATGATGGATTTCAGCTCATAGACATATTTACATTAAAACATTATTCATCAAGTTTCTCAGATCTATGTTTCTTGTGCAGGGAAAATACAAGTTGGCTAACAAGGCCGCCGCCTCTGTCAGTGCTTCGGATTCTGTGCACATTTGCATGTTATTGTTCATGAATCAAATGGAACAATATGGGAGGGTTCATGCCTGTTCAGCAAGGAAGCAAATCCATCAGCACAGACTTTTTGAAAACAAATCTGTTAAATTTGACAGTTGATTAGGCAGCGCTGCCCTTTGGTTAAGAAAGCATTAGAGTTCATTATCAGCATGAGCTGTTAATGATGTATATCTCAGGATTAGCATTTGCACACTACATACCGAGACACCAACAGCCTGTGAAACCACAATGAACCTGAATCAGAAGACACCCAGACAAGAATTTAGCATCATCAGACAGATGGCGGGAAATGAAAACATGCGTGCGTGAGAGATTCTTCGGTGTGGAGATCTGGCAGTGTGATGCTTTATCTTTTCAAAAAGCATGAAGATGTTAGTTTGGCACAGCGAGGGAAAAAGTGCTCTCTGTTTGACATGAATGTCAAAGCAGTAGATGGCTGATTGGGCAGTTCATGCTCCACTTTGTTTTAAGTGCCTTGCACATCAAGTGAAACGACATCAATGATGCTGAAGAGAAAGATAAAAGGTTGCATGGTGCTTGGCAAGGCAGTTTTAAGATGCCAAATGTTTAAAAGTAACTAAATATTGTAGTTAATAGCTTTTATGCACACATAAAATAAACAATAAATTCTGTGCAGATCATTTCAAAGCTTAATTTACCTTAATGCAATGCAATTAGGACCTTTCGATTCAGGCTATTCATTCAAGCCTGAGTGATATGTCCTACGCATTTCACTTAATTGATATGATTGATATTGTGATTAGATGTGATATAAAGTCATTCTACAATGTATTAAGATGGCGCCAAGATAAATATATCAATTAGTTTGTAATAATCTCCTCTATAGGACACTGTGAGTGAAACTGCTGAGGCTACCTCAGGGCCCTTACCATGTCAGTTTTCACTGTCCTATAGTGGTGTGTATTGGCTAACAAATCTGTAATTAATCAAATTACTGCATGTAATTTCCGCACAACCAAAAGTTCTGGAGCATTGAGGCATTGCCCGATTGGTAGTCAAGCCTTTTGCTAGCAGCTGTGCGAGGCTGAACCTTGCTTTGTTGCCTGTTTGTGTTGCTTTGTAGCTAATGTTCACAGACCCTGTTCAGACCTGGCATTACATGCTTCTTCGTGATCTGATCACTTTCCTGCTCTTTATGAAAATAAACACATATTCCTGAATGGCAAAGTGGTATCAGACTTTTGGACCCCACTGTATATCATTTCTGTGGAAAGACTAAATGAGAGCAGGGAGGGGCTGAGCGAATCAATGTACTTTGCATAGCTCTACAATGAAGAAATATTTTCAGTCCATTATGAAACTGTGGTGGGACAAATTACACTGTGGCACAGGATATCAGCTGAGTAGATGGTCCTTCAATGTGGCTCAGGACACTTTGCGCTACAACTTTCCACTTGTGATCGGACCTCAGCTGCATGTTATAGCCAGGTTTGAACAGGGCCACAGATTAACCAGCTGATGTTGGCAGGTATGTTGAGTCCTTTCCACTGTCTGTGTTTTGGATTCTGTGTACATTGCATGCTGCAGTTAATAATTAAAATAGCATAAGAAACTTATGCAAACATCCTCACCATCTTTGTTTAGCATTGTTTAGCAGTGATGCCAGCTGTTTAAAAGAGCAAAGCAGCTGTTTGACACTAGATTTTGCACTAATTTCTATATCTGTAACATCATAATGTAAGTATTTACATATATAAGATTAAAATGCTAAAAAATAAAGTCACCCAAACTTAACAGACTGTAACTTATCATTAGCTATTATTATTTTCAAGCTGCTATCATCTCATTAATATGCAATAGGCTGTGGAGCTGAAGTGTCATGAGAGAAGATAAATCATTTAGATTCAACTTAAGTAACATGAAAAGTCATGGGATCACCAAAGTCAATAGGCTACACCCACCATCTAAGAGCTCTAAATCAAAGTGCTGCACAGGTCCAAATTTGCAAACCCACACCCACCCACACAAGCTTGGTACTGGAGGTGACCAATTAATAACCACGACCCAACCTGTACCCGTAACATTAATTAAACACAAAGGCGGCACAGTCATTCACTTTAAAACTCATTCAGATTGTATTTACATGGCGGCTCTGTGGTTATCTGCCATTTTGCACAATGTTTTGTCCCATTCAGATGTGCAAAAACTTGCTCAGTCAGCTCCCACTACTTGATGTAATGTATAGTGACACAAAGATCACTAAATTTGCAGTTATGATCTGTCCATATATTTAAAGAGAGACCGTTGCTACAATAGTCATTGCAGTCTCGTTTCTGGAACGATGATAAACTGATGGGTGAGAGGACAGTCACCACACAGTCACAATAAAAAAACCAACCAGCCAACATTGCCACGTCTATGAAAATTCATAAAAGAAAATGAAATAATATAATAGACACAGTTTTTCCATATTTATGTAAAATTTGTATGTACATGTAATAGGCAGAAATGCACCACATTCAAATCTGCAACAAAATAGTGCTAAAACGGACCAGCAAAACAAACCAGAACACAGAGTTGGCAATATTTGCACTTTGATAACTTTTGCACGTTTAAACACGTATGACTACAAGGCGTTTTCCATTTACTGATGAATACTGATTACTGCAGTTAGACTGGATGCAGAGAAACAGCAAAGTGGTATCTGCCACACAAGTCTACACATAATCTCGTGATGCAGATCGGTGGTTATGATTCTCTTAAGATTTTTTTCAAGTCACAAAAAAGAAATTTAACAATGAAGAAATGAAGCAAAGGAAATCATCAAAATTGAAGGTAGTGCAGTCTCTAGTTTGACAAAACAGCTAATGGCAGCACTCTCTCATATCTCTGTCAATAAGTTACTCAACAGGAACCCTATCTGGAGCTGCTCTGTACATTGCGGCTTTTAAAGCTCAAAATAACTGCAACTGCCAAATCTGTAGACTAATCAGTTATTTTATGATTTATTATATGATCAAAATTAGACAGATTTAAAGGAATAACTGGACATTTTTCCTGCAAAGACTCTCATTCCTCTATGCTAAATTTGAAGCTAGTATCAGCAGATGGTTAGCCTACATTAGCAAGACTGAAAACTGGAAGGAACAGCTAGCCTGGCTCTGTCCCAAAAAAAAAAAAATCAGTCTCCCAGCACATCTAAATCTCACTAAATACCAAGTTATATTTTATTCATTTAATATGTACAAAAAACAAAATGTAAAAACAACAATTTGTGTTTTCGTGCTAGCCTTTTCCCCCTGCTCCCAGTCTTTAGGCTAATGCATGCTAACCATCTGCTGGCTCTAGCTTAATATTTACTGTACAGACATGAGGGTGGGATCAGTTTTCTCATCTAACTCTCGGCAAGAAAGCAAATAAGTGTATTTCCAAAAATGTCCAACTATTCGGTTCAGCGAAATCCACTGAGCTGCAGGATGAAAGAGTGTAAGAAATTATCTACATACATATAGTGGAAATGATTTCAGTGAGGAAGGGCCGTTACTACAATGTCCTTTTCTTAAGCAGAAGAAAAAGAAGGAAACCCAACCCTTTAATTATCTGTGGTGTCATCACTCACCACATTTGACTAAAACTTGATAATGGACATTTTGAAGTATATCTGTAAATATACAAAGATATATAGATATATAAACAGGACAACAGAAAGCAAAGTTTGGGATTTTAATGCTTAATGCAAGTTCATATGTAGGATGAGATGCGACCAAGGATGGAGGCAGGGTCATATTATTTGAAGACGTTCTCGAAGGCGGGACATTTGTAGGTCTTGAGTTTCTTGATGGCCTTTTTGAACTCTTTACTGGACTTGTCCCACTTGTGGATGCCCGTGAGGAGGTACTGCTTATCCACCTTGCGGCCCATGATTAGATACTGGTTTCCCAGGTTGTCCAGCTGCTGGCAGGGGCAATCCGCGCCGTTCTTCAAGTACAACACCAGCTTCTTCAAGTCCTTCTTCTTCAGGCTCCCCGCTTTCAGCATCTTCTTCCTCTTCTGCAGGATCACCTTGCGGTCCATGTTTTCCCGCTTCACCTCCTTGATCTTGGCCTTGAAAGCTGCAAGTGGACAAAAGGAGAAAAAACACACCACGGTTAAAGGTGACTTCTTGTACAAAATGTTTGGGCTAAGTATAGTGTTGCCTCTAGAATTAAAGGTGTCACCCTCCCTGCTACCAGAATAAAACATGGTAAGGAGTGGCCTCTCTCTCTTCAGGGGGAAGAAAGTACACCAATGTGATTCTGTAAAGGACTGAGGGGGAAACATATAGATGAAAGTATCACACTTCTTTCTCTTTGTAATCATATTAGGGTGAATTACATTATCCATAGCAAGACCAACCCTTTCATTGTAGGTTTCAGGTCATTTAAAGAGCACTGACAGGTTCATGTTTCCAGTGTGAATGTCCGGCAATTTAAAAAAAAACTAATCTAAGGAATCAGTATCAAGATTATTAGTTTATATTATGCATTTATGGTAAAGAAAAATCACCATGATTCAACTTTTTTTAATCCCAAATATTATCAGCATCAGCCTCAAAGATTGGGCATAATTATGATATAATTCATTTCCCCAAAGCTTTTGGGAAATTGTTGCTGCATAAAGTAACCATAAAACAACCATAAAGAATTCCTGATCTTGGAGCAATCTGTGTATTTCTCCACATTTATGCCAATATCATAAAGAAATCCAATATTATTATAAAGCAGTGATATTACAGGGATGATTACCACAGTATAAATGGGATAATAGACACATTAATATCATCTGACAGTACACAGCATACAGCATATCTCCCACTTTTAAATTTTAAAATTAAGTTGTTGTTTTTTTTTATCATATGGCCTTTATACTTCAAAATGTAGGGAATTAAGTATTTAACAGCCAGGTTTATTTTAGTGGCAGCTTAACACAGATCCTACAGGTAAATGAAGGGCCTATGTACACCTTATACAAATACTGTAAGTTACTGAACCCCTTGGCAGAAAGTCTCCGGAGTACATGATCAGATATAACTAAAGAAGAAGTTGAAATCTACCACTTTACAATCATAACACTATAGATCAACAGATGCTGTATTTTACCGACTGAATAAGATACTGCAGTTTCTTGAAACTTACAGGCCGACATGTACAATAGCAATCAACTATTATCAGCCAATATATCGACCCGGACAGTTTATCTAGCTCTACACTACAGCTGTTGTGGATTAATGTTCTCTTGTTATATCACTATGATTTTAAAATAATACCCTACAATCTGTTTATGGTTTTGTGTGGAGACTTAATTGAAAATTCATGATTTGAAACGTTTTAATATGCGGCCAGTTGTTGCAAATCCTGTTCATGCAGCAGAAACCTAGTAATAATGGGGTTCAGGCCAACATCTTATATAAGGCAATATCTGTTTCAGAGATTGTCTGATACTAAATCCAAGAGCCATGTGTGGCATCAAAGACCAAACAAAAGCCACTCAAATTCTCAGCCTTCCCCGCACACAGAAAAAAAACATTGGATCTGACTGAGAAAGATAAATTGTAATTAGCGCTATGTAACACTGCATATGTGCACCTTCTTTCTTGGCTTTTAACCCCCCCCCCAATCCTGTTTTTCGACTTGACCATTATACTCCTATTTTCACTAAACTCTATTTAACCTTCTAATCACTCTGTTTCCGCCAGTTCCCCTTCTGAAGTGGAGCACGAGTCAGACTTTGGTGGTCCAAATCTCCATATGCCTCCACGCATTACGTCCTCTCGTTTTCCACTGACATATAGTGATGTGTGTGCGGCACGGACGACCTTGTGACACGGGAGCGCAACAAAAAAAAAAAGCGCACCATGCCATGTCCAATCTAATTGACATAGCTGGTGTCGGGATAAATCACCGAGTCATGTCGGAGACACAGTCTTGTGACCTACGGTGCAGAGAACAGCCTGATTGAGCATGAATCATTTTCACACTCCAGCAAAGATCTGGACTGATAAAACTACAACTTCTGTCTAATTTTCTCCACAGTTTCAGACACCAAATCCCTCTTGACTCACTTTTTTCAATTGTGCTTGACATAAAAACCTGAATTGGCACTTTAAGAAACTTCCAAACGTTTCATCTCTTCCTTTGCGCTCGCATCTCCCATTGCTAATTAAAGTGTTAAAAAAGAGCCGCCCTGTTTTTCCCAGTATTAAGAGTGCACATGGTAGGGATTAAGAGTTTTATCCTCTGTCTCTAGTCTCTCAAATGGTCTCCATGAGGAGGCTTAGTGTTCAGTGAAATCAAAATGGGCAGCATTCATAATTAGTGAGTCATAAAAGAGAAGGCCTGGCCCACCCCTGAAAGGACTTCATCTTGATAATTCCTCCATCCTCGTTAATCCTTTGACGCTATGAACTTTCTTTGCACCTCGTGTTTTTTGAGGCTTTAATCTCCTCAGCAACATCATACCGTACAAAGTTAACATCAAATAATTAAACTGTGTGTGTCAGTGATGACAATGTTTTTTTTTTTTTTCTTTTTGCTCATGGCTGGTGAAACTGTCCTCCGTTCATGTTTCCCCTTCTACCTGTAAGATTTCACAAATATCCACACATAATGTGCATCAGAGCAGTGAGGTGTTTAAACAACAGCACGAAAATCTATCCAGTAGGTGGTCTTCACCGGTGCCGCTACGCTCTCGAACGAGACTTGAATACATGTGATTCTAAACGTGGGCTGTAAAGCTCTGTTTCTGCACCGCCGTCGCCAGAACTAAGCTACTGTGCTCAGAGACTCGAGAAGAGATCGGACTGAACCAGCCAGAAAACTCACATTGACGCTGGAGCCGGATAATACAGCTGAAATCACTTCAATGACGTTAATAAAAATAATTCTCAATCAGTATCAATCAGTTTCATAAAATAGCAAAAAAGCTAAACAAATTTGGATTCAGGATGTTTATCCTTCACAATGTTTTTGTTGTGTGACCACTGAGCAATGCCCACCCATGTCTTCACAGTGGTCGGGGGCTGGTCAAAGGGGGGTTCAATTACAGTGGAGAAGTAATGGTAAAATAAAAATGAAAACATCATTCAGTAGTTAACTACACAAACATGGCAAAAAAGTCATTTAACCACTGGAATAACTATGCATTACACTACCAACAAGTTACTATAAAATGTAGTGATACTACTAGTTTAATTAGTTCACTGCTCCCCAAGATCACCTATAATGAAAAATAATATCTACACAAGTAGCCAAGTGCTACACTTAAGTAGAGCTTTCAGGCACTTGAGTATTTCCTTCTTTCTAATAGTCCTGTTGTACTTCGCCATATTTATCTGACTGCTAATACTTAACAAGGCTTGATTCTACATGTAAAACACATGATCCACTAATAAGATTAGACCAATGCTTCCCAACCTTTTTGGCTCATGAACCCTCGAAATGACAACATCAGCTACTAGTGTGTACTTGTGACCCTCCATCGTACAGTAGGCTTTGGCCTTGTTGTGGTCACGAGTTTTGAGGAATTCAACCAAAAAAGTGATTTTTCCGTCTCAGATTCTTTCATATGAAGTAGTTGTAGAGGCCTGAGGAGAGAACCGTGTTCAGAATTCGACCAGAACTTAGAGAAAAGTTAGAAAAACGTTTTTCAGTTCCTCTGCCGTTCTTGCTTGTTATCACCTCGTTAAAAGATCAACTACCGACATTAAAATACTGTTTGCATGTATATAACATTCTGTAAAGGGCCATTCTGCATAATGAGTACCTTAGCTGTTGATACTGTAGATACATTTAGCTAATAATAGTTCTCTACTTACATATGTATGTATATGTTTAATGCTGTACATTGTCATATACAGTGTTTTAGCTTTTTTTTTTACTTCACTGAATGAAACCTGGGGGATAAACCTGTGGGGCACAAAAAAACAAACAAACATATTTCTGCTAAACAAAAATTGACAAGGTTTATCTTTGCATTTTCTCTAGCTTCGCTTAGTTACTAGAATTTCCCTGTTTGATTGAAGTGGTGATTAAGGTTCACAAGAAGATGTTGGTTTGATTTAAAGAGTTACAAACAGGGAAGGAAACCACTGTAATGCAATGAATTTTTGTGCATAATATTTACACATCAGACACTGTTGCTTTGGGCCAGACTAATTGTTTCATTACAATGTAACTGGAATTATAAAATTCAACAAAAAACTGAGAATAACATCATTTTATTTTAGGCTCTTATTTTGTAGATGCAAGTAGACGATTATAGAATAATGAAAACTAGATTGAGGTATTTGTGTAAAGTTAATATAGCCTGCGTGACATTCTTCTTTCAGCAATCTCAGTTATTCTACTCCAGATTCTTCTCTCTGTTCTGATCCCTGACACCTGACCTGAGTTCCTGTGCCTCTTCCAGCTCCCCAGGGTGTCATAAACCCAGCAGAAGGGTGTGCACCGCACTTCGTTTTACAATAATGGAAACGCAGCTGATCCGATAAGCTGCAGTGATCAGTTCTCCCAGCGCAAGGCTTGCCCTGTTGTTTACTGCATCAGCAAAGGGGAGGGAGTCATTTGGCACCGACAACAAAGTGAGCTGACCGAGGCAGAGAGGAGATTTAATTGAGGGGTGCTGCAGTTTTTTTGGGACAATGAGGTACCGTAAAACCTTAAGCACAGAGATAAATTGTGGTGGGAACAAAGTGTTGAGTGGGATGAGCTGTAAATCTGTTACCAGCTGAGTGCCGCAAATAGGATGCGTGTGTGTGTGTGTGTGTGTGTGTGTGTGCGCGCGCGCACTTGTGTGTGTGTGTGTGTGTGTGTGTGTCAGAAGGAGAATGATCAGGATTTCAGAGAAATCAGGAAGCAGCAGTCCTCACTCGGTGAACTAAAACAACCTGTTACTGATAAATTAGCTTGAAAACACATATCTAACTTGCAAGAATCTCCTCCTCCTCCTCTGCCAGAGAAACTCCACATCCAGCCACCTCAAGTCAAAAGCTGCCGTGCTGCGGCGCGCTCTGCTTTTATCAGGATCAAACCACGTGGAAAAGGCAAACGCGCTTGTGCAATTGATGGTAATCAAATGATCGAAACACTATTATTACCAAAAAACACAGTTAATTTCTACCTTAACTGAGAACAGACCTTTCACAACTTCCCGTAAGTGTGGTTTTCAGAGGACAAAAATGCTAATTCACTGCCAGGGAGGGGGATATTTTACACATGATTGGTCCGCACAGATTAATAAAGACTTCGGTGCAAGTCACTGATTCATTCCTCAAGCGTCTTTGTGGTTTTCCATCTCTGTGCTGCACAGAGAAGAGCAGGGGACTCTATCTATCATATCTATTTTGTGAGGTCCTCTCCAAACAAAACAGACGGGCTTGTCTGCTATTTAGATTTTAAACCCAGGCTCCTAAAACATGCTGCTACGTACCTTCGCTGTCCACTTACAGTCAAGTCATAACTAGCAGAATGCAATCAGGATGATGGCCTTATCTTTCGTTGGTGGGATAAAACACATCGTGATTAAAGCTCGGGATTTTTCCATCTACATGTTTTCATAAGCTTCTTTAAGACAAGAAATTAACGTGTTTGTCTTCAGCTGCCGTTAAGATATATTTATAGATGCACTATTCTCCTCAGACCGAAAAACTGAATTCCATCAGCTGGAAAAAGCAACAAACAAATCTTTAGCCGAGCTGGTGAAACAAGCAGTGATGCTATCTCTTGTCAGGCTGTCAGGCATTAGTTGTTTGCCCGCCGCAATCAACTCAGACTGAAATCACAGCGACGCTTGTTGCATTCCAGAGGAGGTCGCTCCCTTGTGGGCTCAAACCTGCAACATAAGCAGCACAGTGTCTCATCCTCAGCTTGATACTAAATCTGTCTGTGTATCCTCACATGTCAGCTGGTCGGGAGACTTATGACAAGCAAGGAAAACAACATCTGTCTTCATCTGAGATGAAACAAGCCAATAATGTGCCACTCTCCTCTTGGCAAACCAGGACGCAGCCTGAAAAAAAGCGAGTCCCATCACCGCAGCATAAACAACAAGGCAATTCGTTAAACAAATGTAACTTTAAACTTTTTTTTTTTCCCTGAGAACTGGAACAAAGTCTGTTTCCAATGTGCATCCAGTCTATATTTGCTCGGCGTGGCACCTGGAATTCAGGCTGCCGCGACTTTTTTGGTTCAGCCAGCGAATAAAAACATGAAAGCCTCACGTCCTGCATCTTGCGTGCATCATGCACATATTATTCCTGGAAGTCGTCATACTTGCAATTTAGTTGATGTTTGTGTTTTTAATTGATCCTTTTTTTTTTTTTTTTCTCACACAAATTCCCAAACTTCTACAACTAAATCAAGCGCCGCCATCAGCAAAAGATGTTCGTTCCACCCTGGCTTCATGTTGTTTTCCGTCTGGTTAACAGTCTAGTTGGAATGAAGAGGCTCTAATGAAATTAATGTGTGAAGCCGGCTGTAGCTTGCGTTGTCTCTTTCTTACAAAAGGGGAAATGGCCAAATATTCCCATTTGCTCGGATTTTTCCATGTAAGAATTTGAATTCAAAATGCTTGATTTAGCACGGATCGCTAGTTTTCCCCGACCTGCGTTAGCGCAGACAACAACAGTAGCCTAGCTTAGGGGAACAGTGTTTGCAGTGGGTTATATGAAGGCCTGCTGTGTTTATACGCTGTGACTTTTGAAGTTGAGCAGATCTGATTTGAATGTCTTGTATTCATATGTGCAGAGGTAAAACACACTGTGAATAAAATAAGGAAGGAAAGACATTAGGGCGACAATTTTTAGCAAAATAAGCGTTTCTCATTTCCTTATTTTCATGTGAGTGCGTCATTCAGGGTAAGGGTCAACTAAAGCAAAAGGGTTTGCATATCTATATTATTCCCTCAGAAAGATGTTTGAGGTGTGTGATTTAGAAGGAAAACAAACACAGGGTTTGTCATTAACTGCTTTGTTTAGGGAAGAGGTTTAATGTGGATGTTCCCCCATGTGCAGAAGGTTTTCTGTAACAACAGTCCACCCAGACAGCAGAACAAACATCCCACTTTACTTTACAGCGAGGATCTGCCACATAAAGACTTTTAATGACCCCAATTCATTAGTCACAGAACATCATCCTTCACCAGACCAGACAGGCCTCACAGATAAAACCTCACATGAAACTTTTTACATAAAAAAAAAACTGCATCATTGATTTCAGCACTGAAAAATGGCCAAACACGGACAAGCATGTCCAGATACAGGGGTGCACTTCTACATACTTTACATGCTTCACATACTTTGTTAAGAATTCATGGGCTGTTTTAAAGCTTGAAGATGGCAGATACGGTTGATGCAATCTTATGCTGCTCCTCTGATTTTGTGCAGAGCTGTGATGCCAGTCAAGGCCTCCCCAATCAGAGTGGGGCTGTGTTTTGTATTTTGATGTTGTATGTGGTGTTGTGTTGGTTGTGTGTGTGTGTGTGTGTGTGTGTGTGTGTGTGTGTGTGTGTGTGTGTGTGTGTGTGTGTGTGTGTTGGCGCAGTGGGTGTTTGGAGGACACTTACCAAACTCGCTGGCACACATGTGCTCCAGCATGGCGTCTGTTTTCATTTCATTGTCACATGGAGGGCAGATGGGAGAGTAACCTGTGGAAAAAAGAAGAAGAAGAAGAAGAAGAAGAAGAAGAAGAAGAAGAAGAAGAAGAAGAAGAAGGGACATGGTTTGGAAATCAGTGGAAAAGAAGCAAAAATACAAGCTGCAATAAATCATTGATATAGTTTTACATTAGATTTATTCACATTTGGGATGCAGTCAAAAAAAGAAAAAAGGAATCAAGGGGGAAATAAAACAGTCATTTCTCATTTGAAGAAGAGTTAAACTAAAATCTTAAAAAAAAAAAAAAATGTCACGTCCCTGCTCTTAGATTCCCATTTGAAATGATTTATTCTGCAAATCTCTGCACACACTGAACCTCACATGCAGAGATCCTATTCTAGTGTCTGGTGACCTGACCTCAGCGAGGAATGTCTTCAGCTTTTATAGCCGGCTCAGGCTAAGAGCTGCAGTAAACACTGGTCCTCGCTTTCTTACATTTAGACATTTTACAAAATGGATCTTTCCATAATACTCAGCAGCAATGTATACATGCAAAAAAAAAAAAAAAAGTATTAGAAATGTGGGTGGAATAAATGGTAATGATATTCAATCCAGGCTTAAAGGAATGCTCTGACATTCCAAAAAAAAGGTAATAATATCCAGCTCGAAGACAAAAACCCGGCTGAAGACAAAGAACCAGAATATGTTGCTGCCAAGAAGTAATTCAGTCTACAGGCATATCTGCGAATATTTCACCAACACATTTTTTCAATTCTTTCTAATACCGCAAATGATCGCTTCATGCAAAACAGCTGAGCTTACTTTCCAAACAAACTTGGACCCGCAATGCGATGGCGGCGTCCTGCAGCATTTAACTCAAACCCGGCTGCATTTCAATGTCGCAGCGTGGACCCGGATCGATGGAGCAGAGGGGGGGGGGGGAAACAGGGGGGAAAACAAATAGTTTTCTCTCCATCGCCAGTTGTCCATTACATGTGTTTAACGAAAGCTTGTGAAAGTAACACCCAGGTGTAAAGAGCTTGTGAAAACAGACACTGTTTACAGAGTCATGGAGTCCCCTTTTCCTATTTGAGCCTATGGTTCCTCCTTTAAATCAATTATCACCAGCCTGCATTCAGCAGTGTCAGCTGACCTCTATTAATGATAATTAAGGAGAGTGGCTCAGAAGATTATAGGCCTCTTTTGTTTGTCTTTGTCAACCTTAAGATCAGATATTAGCACCTCGAAGGAGGACTCTCATGGCAGAAAAGAAAAATTCTGTAACAGTCTTGAGTGGTCCGGCTCCAACAGGCCTGACTCTGTCCTGCGGGAGAACGCCGGCTTTATTTATCACCAGCGCTGACAAGAAATGATAACAGGTGATGTCTGGGGAGCGTGCAGCTCTGTGTGGTCCCCTTACCCCTGAGAAGGGAGCTCTTTTTCACAAAAATGGGCCTCCGTCCATACCACCATGTCAGTCAGTAACACCCACCCCCCTACTCCACACACACACACACACACACACACACACACGGTATACGTCCCCTCTACAGATACAGTGAGCACTGTGTAATTGCTGGAAGATCCACAGTCCCTTCCATTTACAGCCAACATGAAAATGTCTTGCAGTGGTGTATTTACAGCTTAAGAATGAAATAGAAGTAAGTTGATGATGTGATGATGGAAAATCCCCTCTGTTTTATGGTTAAAGTGAATGAGGTGGTTGTACTTTCTCCCCCTCCCTGGCGTACACCTCACCTAAGCAGCCGGCAGGGACACGAGCACAGCGACCAAGCGCTCACACCAAAACTATTCTGAATCAGGCCGAGCTTTATCTTCCCCAGACTTGTTGTTTTTGTGCATTTTTCAGGGTTTCTCTGGTATTTGTCAGCTTGGCTCATCAGGTTAGCACTGGAACACAACTTCTCTGGACTACGTTACAACATCTTCCCCCACTTCACTCCACTGATGCTGCATGAGGTGTCTGAGTCTGTTCCACACCAACCCACACACATTCCCGGCAGGTTTGGGGAATCTGCAGTGATAGACGATAAGCGGCGCCCTCGCTCACCTCCAGAGTGTACTTTAATTCAAATTATTTGGACAGTGTGTTTTTCAAATCACGTCTTCATCTCCCCGTCTTTCATCAGTCTGAATGCTTGTGTTGGTGATGGTTGGGCAGAAAATGGGAATTAATAGATGCATGTATTCACTTCTCACTGCTGGACTTCCTCCCAGCATTGTCCTCCAGCTTCAACAAACACCTTGAAATAAATGACTACCATCTGTTACAGCTTTTTCAATATTACAACATCACTGCAAGTCAATAGCGAGCAACTTCCACATCCACATTAAAGCCAGGGTTTATTCAGCAGAACACAGGTCGAAGAGAAAATGTAACCGCATGAGACTGAGGAGCGTGAGGGGAGGTGACTTTGTTAAAATGGGATCAAATCCAGGTTTTCACGGCTGATTTTCTCCCCAAAAGGTTGTATTTGGTTTGTTTGTGTTGGGATTTGCATCTGCAAACACACCTTCCCCCCTGAAATAACATTCTCAAGCCCATTTAACTGCACCGGTGTCGACTTTTACACAGTGGCAAAAGTGGAGGCTGTTTCTCGCTCAGGTAGCTTCTTCTGAATGTTTAGAGTTTATTGTTTGTTGTATTAAGAAATCCTGACTTCCTGCATGTTGGCTAAATGACAAAAAAATTAATCGCCAGCGATTCTGTTGACCAATTAATCCCATGAGTCGTTTAAAAAAGAAAAAAATCCAAATATGAGCTGTTTCCAGCTTCTAAAATGTGATGGTTTACTGCTTTTATCTGATTTATATCATAACAAATTGGTTTTTCTTTTAAAGTTTTGGACAAAACCAAACATGTTAAGATGTCACCATGGGGTCTGGCTGAGCTGAAGCAACCACTGACAACACTGAGGCCATGTCCTGTGTATTTTTCTGTGAATCATAGCAGTTTAGCAAACTGGACGCAGTTTACGTTCCAAAATTAAAGTTAGACTTTTTATAGCAGGAGTTATTTTCAGACAAAAATTAAATTGGATTACTTTTAGGCCATGTTTAATTTCTGGCAGAATTTGGAAAGCTTTGAAACAGCATTTAGCCAACATGTTGCACAATCAAATTAACAGAAAATAGAATTGAACATTTAACTAAACAAAGTAAGAAGAATGTAAATAAATAGAAAGTTTGCTTTTGTCAAGTAGCTTAGGTCTATTTCAGAAAATTCAGGTTATGGCCTTGTGCTCTGGGAACTTATTGGGGACTTTTCATTGTTTCCTGGTAGGCTATTTTATAGACCAAAGGATTAAATGGAAAGTACGATGAGATAGTCAACAGATTAGTCAGTAATGAAAATGATAAACATGCCTGCCTAACAGGAAAGCAGGTTTTTCTAACCAGAGAGGGCAGATCCTCCAAGTTAAAAGACAGAATACGTCGTTTACGGTCGGAGGACTTCCTCAGAGAGGATCTTCCCTCCATCCACCACCATCAAGTTGTTGTTGAGAAAGACACAAACCCACAGATGTCCCTGAGGCACTGACCACCAAAAACACCGTGGTTTTTTTTGTTGCGCACCCCACACAGAGCTGAACTGAAAGAATGTTGAAACAGCTCCAGACTCAGTGGACTCGTCTTGAGAAACACATGTTGAAAAACGCAGTGATTCATAGAGTGAGACAGAGCAGTAAAGTGCTGTGATTTACCTGTCGGCTTGGTGGCCTCGGTCGCATTGGGCTGCGTCATGGCGATGCACACGTCGTCCTGGGGAAACTTGTCACAGGTGAGCATCTCCGGCCAGGGGAACCCGAACGCCTCCATGATGGGGGTGCAGCCGTCCCGCACGGCCTCGCACAGCCAGCGGCACGGGTAGATGGGCCGCTCCAGACACACGGGCGCAAAGAGCGAGCAGAGGAGAACCTGCGTGCCCGGGTGGCAGTTCTTGTGCACCAGGGGCACCCAGCTGCTGGCCTGCTGCTTCGCCTCGGCCATGGTCTCGTGCTCCAGCAGGTTGGGCAGCAGCATCTGGGTGTAGCCCACGTTGTGACAGAGCCGCAGGTCGTCCGGGATGTCCACGCACTGCGGGGGCTTGCCGTAGCTGCGCCCGCCGTTGTACGCGTCCGACTTCCAGCTCAGGTACTCGTACTCTGACGCTCCGCACGCTGACACGAGCGCCAATGTCACCGCGAGCCGGATCATCCTCCAGAAAGACTCAGAAGTGGACCTCATGATTTCTCTTTGCAACAACAACGCGAATGCAACTGAGTGCGGGTAAAACGGCCGAACCAAGAGACTCACTTCATGAAGAAATTCACAACAAGAAGAAACAAATGCAGAAAAACAAAACAAAACAAAGCTGCGCTCTGCTGATCGACGTGCGTAAAACGTGCCGAGTTTCTGGTTTTGGGTAAAGTCCACAGGCTCTCTCTTCTGGCTGCAGCCCCGCCGCGCTCCTCTGGTGCGTCTGTCTCCTGCGAGAGTTCGGGGAGGTACAGCGCTCTGCCTGTGCGCAGCCTGGAAACCAAGAGGTTGTAAAGTGCGCTCCGGCCAATCGGAGTGCGCCTGAGCCTTTTGGCACTCTGCTGTCAGTCAAAGCGCTTAATTACCCAGTGTGTAAAAACTCTCCGGGAGCCTCCCTGCTCCTGCCTATACTCCCCTGCATGTACTTCTTTTGACTAAACAAAATACTCAATAGAGACACGTTCATATAAACCCGGGATTCTGGTTAATATGTGAGTTTGTTAGTTGTGCAGAATAAGAGTGTAAAGTTTATAACTATATATATCATATTATGTAGAATTTCCGGAGCTTGCTTTCATTCCAGCTCTATAGAACAACTTGTGTCTCATGAGGATGATGAGGTTGCCCCTGTAATGTGAGGAAATCCTAATTTCATTCATATTTACTAGAAATATCCCTACAAGGAGAACAGCCTCAGTCTGTGACTCTGATGTATTATCTTCTCTATTACTATAACAGTGGAGTCACAGAATAAACACACATTTCTCTTAAAAATAAATACCAATGGTTTAAAAACCCAGAGGGTTGTTTAACAAAAGTTAGGCTCCAGCTGTTATGAAGCTATTTCCAGAAACCTCAAAGAAGAGATTCCCAAACATCTGGATGAAAAAAATAAACTTCTCCACCTGAGAATGATTTAAATCCCTTTCTTAGATCTGTCTAGACTGCCACAGACCAAAATGGTGAGTTTTGATCATTCACATTATTTAGTTTCAATGAAATATAAATTAGCATCAATATAGACAAATACATGAATCAAACTTTGGTTCACATATTGGTTCGGCTGCACAAACAGAGCGAGGAGATGAGTCTATTATGGCTAACAGTTTTGTTGGGACAGGGGGAAAAAAATCTGTTAATTCCTCCAGAACAACAGGAAGCTCTGCAGCATTACCCTCCTTGGTTTCTGAATGATGACATGATATTTATTTTATGGAAAATCTGATGCTGAGCTCTGTGGCTCAAACAATGTCAATACATGAGACTCACGCACTGGGTGCAGGGTTTACTTTCATTCCAGTGGCTCCAGAAATGTGTCACAGGGAACACAATGAGTCCTTGAGGAGCCTCCTACGCAAAATGAGGAAATCGTATTTTCACTAATATTAAATTAACTACCACAATCCCTGCCAGAGAATGTGGAGACTTTTGTTTGTTCAGCTCTGAAGTGCTGAGCCGAGTCATATCCGACAGTAAACAGCCGCCTCGAGAGGAGTTCTTGGGTATATTATCTTATCATACTGGGGGCTGGTGATCTACTGCAGCTCGGTTTGTGTTTTCTGCACATGCAAACACTGTGGAAGTGCTTCTTTATCCAACCTAATTACAAACTATAGGCCAAAGTCAATTTGCTGAGCTGCAAGTGTCCATCTCCTCCCAGCTTTGCCTCGTTCCCTGATAAGACTGAAGGTGTGAAATCCCTCTATTTATATGTAGAACAATTTGCATTCCATTGTGTTGTTAACAGTTCTTGCAGAGCAAGAGAAAAAAAAAACAAAGCACTTAATTTGATTTTAAGTGTGGACACAGCAAACACAGACCTTTCAGAGTAATAGCTTTGTTAATCTTTATCAAATCAATGCGTTTTACAGCTGCCTCCTCCGCAGAGGACACTGCTCACCTCCACGTTTTCTTCTTCTCTCACTTCTTGAACCGAAGCCAGGAGAAAACATTCTCCAACAGCATGCAGAATGTTAAATGCATTATGCAGTATGGATGGATGGTGACAGATGGCACCATAATAAAAAAACTGACTGTAATTTTGCTGGATGCAAAAGATGAAATGAAAAATAAAAGTGTCAAAAGAAAAGCTGTAAATCATTTTGGAGCTATAATCAAGTAAGAATCAGGGTGATGTGAAAGGTGAAAAAACAATACAACCTTAAATAGCTCATCAGGTCAATTATGAATCAACTTAGCCCTCTGCACAGCAATCTGCATGCCAGAGTGGTGATATGTGTTGAAAAGAAGACCAAGTGATTCTCCAAAGTACTTTACACACAACACTTCTGTTAACATTTCAAATTAACGGTGATGGTTTAATAAGGGAGGCTGTGTTTGTGGCGATGCTACAGACTGCTTTATGGGCTGATGGCATCCAACAACAGTTTGTGCAGATGGTTGCTAAAGCAAACTTAAAATTCAGGAGACAGGAGGGTTTTTTTTTTTTCCCTCAGACTAGACCTGGCTTTGCTCAAATGCATGAGGTAGCCTCCTGTCAGGAGTGATAGGCCCTGCAAAAAACCACCAGCAGGACAGCAACAAGCCAAAACCTCAGTGAGACAAAGAAATGCAGCGAGTGGAGACGTTTGCATTTACTTTTCATATGAGTGTACAGCAGAGAAACTGAGGAGCAAAAAAAAAAAAAAAAAATCTTCTGCAAACAAGAGCAGACATGACCACGGAGCCGTGGATGTCACTGTTATCACGACCACATTCACTTTCCAAACTTTGTCCCTTAACAGCGTGTGACTAACAATAGAGAGACTAAATATTTGGACTTTCAGGCCTCTGGGAGGACGGAGTTACCCAAAGACAGGCTATCCATCTAAATTCACCAGTGTTTAAAGTCACAATCTAGCATACATGTGCATGTATTGCCATGAAAGGACATTTTGGCCCTGGCAGAATGAACATGTATGTCATTAAGCATCTGTCATCAGCAAGCGCTGGCTAAACACTGGATCTGCTCCAGAGCGCGGCGTGGGCCGTAGACTGATGAGGTGTATGCGCATAGAGGATGCTGTGGGAGAAAAAGCTGCTATTATAACCTACTGTATGTTAAAACATAGAAATAACAAGCACCCCTGCTTTCTGTCAGGTCACACCGGGAGAGGACAGAGAGCTACACACAGCTCACAAAGCTCACTGCTTTTTATTCAGTTGAGTTTTATTCTTGTGGCGTCTACTTAGAGACAAAGTGTTGATTGATTTCATTTAATCTCTCGTCTCTCAAGACGTGACTTCTGATGAAGGAGTGTGTGGTTGGCTTGACTCTCCATGAGCAGACACTGGCTCCTGCGTGACTCGTAGCATTTAAAGTGATAGTTTGGGTTATTCAACGTGGGCCGGCTTGGAGAGGCAGATGGGAGCACCGGCACAGAAGCGGAGCGATTTTTGCTGCCGCGGTCAGGGCCACTTTAAAAAATGCCCACAGAAAAAATCAGTTTAAGTCTACGTTTTATTTTGAATATTTTCACCACTTTATTTTGCTGTCAAACAGCCCTTTCCTACAGAAGCTGAAAAAGGCCATATATCCAGAGATAACGAGCTAATTGTTCCGTTAAAACACGGTAGTTCAACAGTTCAAATGATGTAGTTCCAAAGGAAAGGGCTGTTTGGTGGCAGGATAAAACAGTGAAAATATTCCAAATAAAGCGAACACTAAAACTGATTAGTCATTAGCTTTTTTCTTCATTTTTTAAAGTGGCTAAATCCTGTTTTCACAGATGGCCCCATCCACAGCAGCACAGCACTCAGCTTCGGTCTCAGCTGCTTCTCTAAGCTGTTACTGTGCTGATCCGAATCTGCTGCAGGTAACACACTGACTATAGATACGACCATGTCAGATGTCACTTTTAGGCGTTGTGTCATTACATCAATCTGCTTAACTTTGACTTGTGACTTACCTCATTTTCAGAGCTCTACTCATTGTGAAGACTTCCTGTCATGTGACCTTTGACCTGATTCAGCTCTCCTTAAATTTTTTTGTAGGTGCCATTCAGTGAATGTGTTTAGTTGCACAGTAACCGGGTCACTTTCACCTTTCTGCAGCTCTCAGTGTTCACTCAGCCAACTCACATGGAACAGATTATTATGTGAATGTACAGAATTAATGTTTGGAGTCAGGGCTCTGACGTGTCACTCCCCACGAGGATACATCGAGGTCAAGGTCAGCAGCGGAGTGGGGAGTGACGATAATAACTCCCCCGTGGGGGAAATTAGACTTGGAGCGCACAAGTGGAAGCTGGGGTGGAGGTGGGGCTTTTGATATTTCGTAAGAACAGCAACAGTAACGGCAGCAGTGGCAGCACAGGTGAGCAGTGTGGCAGCACGAGGGTGAGCAGAGCACTGACAGCAGGGAATGAAAAGGTCGTTACGTTTCACATGTCCTCAAAATAATTTAACTTGAGGTCTGACTAAATGATACTTTCTGTATCCGCATAGCCGTGAGAGTCCAATGATGACTCAAGCGAGATCACTTAAGGCAAATTATCAGACTTCACTCAGCCCAAAGTGCAGCCACAAAAGACTCTTATATGCAGTAATACTCCTCAACACCTGGAGCCATGTGTGAAATCAGTTGAGTTGCCAGTGGATCCAAAAATAAGTTGGGTGATCTGATTACTGACCTGCTGCATCTAAACATGGATTTAACAGTTACCAGGAGACAATAAAGCATTGCCATTGTCCAGTTTCCAGTGTAACTTGATTTCTCCCTGTATCCTGAAACGTCTCAGGAAACTACAAAAAAAAATGAGAACTTATAAAACAGAGGTCTCTAACGCATATTCAGTTCATAAACATCATACGGCTCGACAAAGATGCAGATACATGTTACATGACTGAAGTGTCCACATTTTTGTATTTTGCTACACAGTAGAGTGACCAAGGAACTGATGTGTGGGTGGTCAACAAGATATTTGGCTGAAAGTATTGGCCATGGCTAAACATGGTCACTGGTCATCAACAGCCAATTAGATATGCGTGCCTGTTTTGCTTTTTTGTTGTTGTCTTGATTTGCTTTCATGAGTAATAGCACCAGATGGTGAAGTGCAAAGAAGTGGAGAAGTTGATTACAGCGATTTTAAAACTTAGCAGATCTCTGACACTTTTATCTGAAGGACATCCAAAGTCTACTGTGGGGTCCTGAAAGTCTGAGACCACTTTTGGACCACATGTTTATCCAGAGTGCAACACAACCTTTGAAAACGGTTCTATAATGTCTTCTGTGTCAAGTC